AAATAAATGATATGTATATGAATTATATAACTAAAATTAAATAACTGTAATTACAGATTTAGGTTAAATAAAGATCTTTATTTAAGTCTTTATTTTTCTTCTTTTTAGGGCAGCAGTAGCTCTAGCAGCAAATCAATCATCCACATCAAAAGCTGCAGGACAGCCCAAATTTCAGAAACAAATCAAAGAAAAAATAAACAAATACTACTGTTCCAAATATTCTGTAAGTTGCTCAAAATATATTGAGTTTTTTTTTTTACCCAGACATTTCAAATTAACACATTTTAGAGCTGCAACAACAATACCGTGATACCGTGATATTTTTGCTTAAGGTTATCATACCGTCAAAATCTCATACCGGCCCATGCCTACTCGTAATATAAATTTCTTTCTCTTTTTTTTTTAAATGAGACTCATTTCATAGTAGTCTCTCATATCAGCACCTGATGAGGGCAGCAGAGCCCTTGAGGGGAAAAGTGAGAATCAAATGTTGTAATTGTCCATGAAATTAAAGGGTTTGGTTTGCATTGCACATCTATTATGTATCGTTTCTGATCTTTTTTATTATTTTTTTAATTTTCAAATTTTCTTCCCCCATTCTCCAACTTCTCCTGTGGATGAATCCTTGGTAAGAGCTCTGACCTTCATACACACGCTTTCCTCTTGTGTGTGTGTGTGTCAGGTCACACACACGTGTGCTATGCTGTGCTGTTAACCCTTTGAGTAATGGGCGTGAAGTGTTCCCCTCTCAGATCATAGGCTTCCAGTAGAGCCCGTCCCCCACGTGGTCCCTTTGCTTCTCCCTTCACTTGGGTGAGCCTAACAACAAACCCCTGAAGCTTAGACACTAACACACCAGTCTACACCAGCAGCATGCTCCTTTTAACTGAATGAACTAATTGTATTGCACCCGAATATGAGAACAGAGTCAAGATGCAGCATACATCAGCGTTAGCATACTTGTATATGTGAATTTCACGGTTGGTTGGTTTGACTACAAAGCTGACGTCTCATAAACTGCTCTAAATTCAACATGAAATCAAAACTGATCCTATGTACTTAAATGCATAATACATATTCCTGGTCTTATTGTATCAGTTATTTTTGTGTGTGTGTATATATATATATATGTGTGTGTGTACTACTATAATATATTATTTATATTATAAGTGAGTAAATTAATTATAATAATGTTAAATAATTATAATAATTATTTAACTATTATATATTTAATTTTATATTTTGAGTAAGCTTTATTATTATAGTTTTTTATTTTTACTTTTCGTTTTAATTTCAAGTTTTAGTAATTTTTCCTATTCAGTTTTAATAATTGTATTGCTTTTATTTTAAACTTATTTCAGTTAGTAGCCAAGGCAAAATTGCAAATTTTAAATTAACAATATTAACACTGTATTGCACATAATTTATCAGTGCACATCATTCCAAATATAATAAAAATAACGTCTTCCAGTTCAGAAACGACTTTTCTTTCTAGCGATGTCATCTAGGACTGGTGGGCGGATAAATTAAGGTTAACCAATAACCAAGTAGCTATTAGGCATTGCTTTAGGCTCCATAAAGCATCCTCTCTGAAATTTTGCAGATTTACATGCAGAATAAAGTAATGTAACAAAAATATTGATAGATTTAATGATAGTTTTTTTTTACCTTTTTCAATATGTCAAACTTCTTTTGACCATGAACTTGACCTTTAGGCTCCCGATCTAAACCATTATTCCAGTTCCTTGCAGGCAGAGACTTAAATAAAGCCTGATTCCTCAAACAAAATTATCATCCCATCCACAATCTGCAAACTCACTTTTGGGGTTCTGATTGCTTTTCACAATCCAATACATTCTCAATAAAAAAATAAATAAAATAAAAAATGGCATTGTGCTCTAAATTTTTCATACAGCATTTCATCTGTTTCCCTCAGAAATTCCCTCAGTCACATTATGGAAGGAGAATGGGTTGTGAATGGTTTTTCATGTTGATTTTAAAGCATTGGTTTGCTGTGTGTGTGCTCTACTCACCCTGACCCATAGACTTCTCCAGAAACATCCAACTCCATTATTTTTTACTTCTGCTTCTGCTAGAACTGGTACCAGTAGTTTGTGTTTTATGTCTGTCGCAAGGGCAAAGTATGTTACAATTTGTTCATTGTATGTAATTTTTGAGTTTACTTCATTATCCTACATTTAGTAGATTGCCTTTTCTCACAGCGGGAGGCGCCAATTGACCATGCTCATGTTTAAACTAATCAGGAAAATGGGATTTTAGAACAATGCTCATTTGCTTTCTGGATCTGCAGTACGAGCTTAGTTTAGCACTTTGCAGAAGTTCACTTCTGCAAAAGGAATAGTTCACAGAAAATGAATATTAAAGAAATACTTCACCCTAGAACCTAATAGTCCAGCTATTTCATCTTGTGAAATAGTTCACAAGATGAAAATTTGCTGAAAATCTACTCGCCTTCAGGCCATCCAAGATGTAGATGAGTTTGTTTCTTCATCGGAACAGATTTGGAGAAATTGAGCATTACATCACTTGCTCATCAATGGATCCTCAGTGAATGGGTGCCGTCAGAATGAGAGTCCAAACAGCTGATAAAAACATCTCAATAATCCACAAATAATCCACACAACTCCGATCTGTCAGTTATCTTGTGAATGGAAAAGCTGCGTGTTTGTAATAATCAAATCCATCATTAAGATTTTTTAAAACTTCAAACCATTGCTTGCAGCTAAAATGAGTCTTATATGCATTTTAATGCTTTCCCCAGTGAAAAAGTTGTCTTGTCTGAATCAGGAGAGAAATATGCCCAGATCAAGGAGCGTTTACAACCAAAAACCATCCAGAACAGTTATAGTATGTTGGTGGATTTTGTTGAGCGGACAACAGGGGATGGACTTTTTCACTGGAGGAATTGTTATAATGGATTACAGACTCGTATTTTGGACAGAAGTGACAGTTTAAAGTTGAAGCGTCTTTTTGATGGATTTGTTTATTACAAACACACAGCTTTTCGCTTCATGAGACGTTAACTGATAGACTGGAGTGGTGTGGATTATTGTGATGTTTTTAATCAGCTGTTTGGACTCATTCTGATGGCACCCATTCACTGCAGAGGATCAATTGGTGAACAAGTGATGTAATGCTAAATTTGTCCAAATCTGTTCTGATGAAGAAACAAACTCACCTACATCTTGGATGGCCTGAGGGTGCATTTTTGAGTGAACTCTTCCCTGGACTTAAATTACAATATATCACTCTCTTATGAAATCAATCTTATGATGTATTTTAGCTCCTGGTAAGATCGTAGAAAATCATTGCAGCTATCAAAATTTAAAATGAACAGACCATTTTTACAAACACAAAGAGCAATTGGTCTTGACACTTTGTCTATGCACGTTGGAGGTGCATCTGCAGGGTTTTGGTTTTGGATGCGTTACACTTCTGTGGTTCCTGTCCGTGAGCTTTAACCAGACTGCCTGTTTCTTCTCCTCTCAGACCGCACGGTCAAAGCGAGCGTTCCCTGGTATTCTGACTGGAAAGAAACGCTCACACAGCTGAGCTCGTCCAAGTACTACACAGGTATTCCCTTCCTTCCCCTGCTGGGAGTGCGTGAGAGGGCTTTCCTCAGCCGCCTTCTCCACGTCATTTCCCGTCCCAGCTCGCTCCGTAGCAGAACTGTCACTAAATCTCCTTTCCTCTTTCCAATCCAGCTTTCTCAGGTTGTTGGTGGTGGTTCTTTAGCTTTATGTGTGTTTGAGACTCATTGTGCTAAAACTCTCAGTGGTAGATGTGTCCATTGCTTTGTCAAATAATGGATTAGCAATCTCTTCAGTTACATCCAAATAGTTAGTGTTCCAATTGACAATCAGAAAATAGTTAACTATTGTTTTGACTGAAATTTAAGTTTAATTTTATATTTCAGAAATGTTTGGGCTCAGTTTGTTTGTGAGATTTTAGTTCAATGAGTCATTTTACCCATTCAGTTAGAATGTGCCTCACTTTATAGTCTAGTTTCTTTTCCTCTGTAGAGCCATCATTCCTTTTGCTGTGAAGTAGAGATTGACTTTACATGTACTTTTTCTGAAATCCAAGCAGAATAAATCTTAACATAGTTCATCAGTTTGATTTAATGTGAAATATTGGTTCCTTTCTATTAAATTTTCAGTAAAAAAAAACTGACAACGTTTCCAGTATTACTGCTGGCATATTGGTGCCTGTATATTTCTAACTTATAAGTTATAACCATATATTTCATTAAGTGATATAATGTACCAATATCTGCTTTTTACCTTAAAATGTATTGAAAACCATGATCTGAGTGTATGGGTTCATTGTAAGTGGGATGTCCATAAAACAAGGCCAATACTCATATATAAATGGACACAGGGTCATAAAGACAAAACACCATCAGGCTAATACACAACACTAAAATAATGCAATAATCATTAACTAAATAATGACCTTTTAACTAATTAATGTCCTTTTACTGCTTTCAACATGAATTGTATAGTAATTTAAAGTTTTTACTTCCAAGAACCATAAATGTAACTGTATTGTACAGTAACATGACATACAATGCAATATTAAACCAATTTAGACCACAAAGTTTCACTGTATATGGCAACATATCTAGCAGTTTACCAATTAATAGTTTTTTTCTGTACAATATTTTCAGTAAACATTACAAGTTTTTTTTTTTGCTGTTGTATTGATACACTAATGCTCTGTCGAGTATAACGTTTGCTGAATTAAACGTTTGGATTTTTAAAAAAACTATATTTGTTTACTACATATTTATTTTGGATGTTCAAAACACATTTTCAAAAATGTCTGGTAGGTTGTCTGAGTAGGAACTATGTATATTTGGTTTAAGGTTATGTTCATGAGACATCAGGCACATTTCTTAGAGATATACTTAATCACTTCATATTATGAATTATGGAAGTTACTTCAAATTAATAATTTAATTAATTCAAATTATGATTAACAAAAAGAAACTGCCTTTATCGAAACTTTAACAGTGTTACTGCAGGGGGTACGCTCATTAATGTTCATTATCCAAAAATATTTTTAACAGTGTTAACTTTAACCACAGATAAAGCTAAATGTTTCATTGTCCCTCCTACGTAAAAATATTAAGTACAATGTGCAAGTTTATGAACCATGATGGTTGTTTTAAATAATAAAAGTCTAAGTCAGAACTAAGTCTGTATAAAACATTAGTATGGTACATGATACACATCGCCATAGGCCAGACTTCTAATGCAACACTCAGTATGTAATGGGGGTTCATATTTACCTGTCAAGAGGACCTTGGACCTAAAAAATAGTTAAAGACTTCTGCTTTAAAGCACAAGTAAAAGTTAAAGAAAAAGTATGTAAATTAGCCTATTTTGTCTAAGTAGAATGTTGCCATTGTAATCAGCAGAGCTACTGCAAGCAAGTGATGCGCTTTGTTGATTTTAATGAAAATGATATGGGGTTTTTTTTGTGCTGTAGTGCAGACATGGTGTACAAACTCTACCCAGAATTGAACGTGAGGCTGCCGGAGTGAAGTGCATCATTCATGCTGTGTGCTTATTGTCATGAATGATTCTGAGAGGGCCATTGATTGAGACGAAATGTCAAGGCACTCAACTAATGAAGCTGGAGCATAAAAATCACTATATCCTCATCTTACCCTCCTCGCTGGATAGATTTAAAGGGGTCCTATTATGCTTTTCACTTTTTCAACTTTAGTTAGTCTGTAATGTTGCTGTTTGAGCATAAAGAAGATCTGCAAAATTACAAAGCTCAAAGTCCACTTCAAAAGGAGATATTTTATTTAACAGAAATCACTTTTCAAAAACTACAACGAATGACTCGTTTGGACTACAACGCATATTTTCCGGGATTTGTGATATCACAAATATCGACGAATGGGACGAGACCTGGTTGAGCTGCACTAGAGAAGGCAACGAGTGTTATCACTATGTCGGAGACACGCTAGCTTTCCCAAGGCAGACGAACTTAGAGTGGTTACTAGGGCTGTCAAAAAAAAATTCGAATTTCGAATATTCGTTGATTTTAAATAAAAAATCCACATTCGAATGCAAAAACATGCATAAGGCAGCCTTATCAGTGGTACACGAAATGCGATGACAATGTAAGTGTCATTGCATTTTAATGCTTTTGTTAGCCTGTCCATTTGAACCCACTAGATGCGGCGCTGCTACGTTGTTCATTCAAAATATTGCAGACAAAAAGAACAATTAATGCGGGGTGTTGTTTACGTCAAAACTGAAACCAAGCCGTTCACACAGAACGCATATTTATCGCATTTTCTAGAGGGACTATC